AAATTAAAAAATATAAATTTTTAAAAAAATATTTAAATTTATAAAATATAAATAATATCAAAAAATTAAAATCTTTATAAATTTTATCAAATATGTTCATAATCTCTCACTATTTTGTCATTACCCATGAGAGAAAGAGAGTTTTTTATAAATGATTTTTATTTACTTACTGGTGGTGATTCCCAAAAACCAATATTCTGAGGTATATGTTTTGCAAATAATATAATAATTGTGTGGGTAAAGGACAAAGGGTATCCCATCCATCGCCATGACAAAAGAAAATGAGAAAAAGGACAAAATAAAGGAAGGTTGTTTCCATGTCCAAAAGCTTGTGCCTTGATAGTGAACTACTTCTAGGTGTGTATATCAAATATATGTGTTTCACTAGTCCAATCGACCTAATAATTGATTCCTTTTAGCCCTAAACAAAATCAAGAATATTGCATTATTTTTTCAAAAAAAATAACAAATAAAAGTGCTTTAACTTCATAATATGAGTTTAGTGTAAATATTATATTAAATTATAAAATATTAATTATTAAATGAATGAAACTTCTCTTAACATCAAAAGCATTATTATCTTAATAATTAGTATTTTATAATGTAGGACAATTTAAATTGCAAAACAAGGTATTTTCTCCCTCGTTGATCTAAATGGAATTAGGAAAAACAAGGGAGGTAATTATATAGGTCTGAAGTTTGGACAAAAATCATGATAGAGATAACACTGAAAGGACAATTATCTTCACTTTGGTAGAAATTTAAGGCAAAGGAAAAATAAAGGCGGGGATAAGAGCATGAAGAGCAGAACAGAGTGGAAAAGAAACAATCAATCAACACAATCTCAGCTGATATTGTTGACGCACAAAATGAAAGTGGTAGCTTCCCACTGATATTAACTTACTGTTTTTTCATAGCAACGTAAGAATTTAACTCTTTGATCTGCATGGGAATTCCAATAAGACTGAGAAACCTTTGAACACCAGATGATCATGCAAGTAGGCAACTAGGGCTGGGCACTATACCATAAATGTCACAATTATCATTGTACTGTCTCATTATCAACAGAAATGGTATGGTAAATTACCATATGATAAGTTTAAATAGTAATATGACAATATCATTTAGACCTGTGATACGATATTGGTTTTTCCATTTTTACCATATGGTTACCAAATTTATCACTCATTCAAAACTTCTTCCTCTTTTTTTTTTTTTATTCTACAAAGTTTTCAATTGTTGCTAGTTCTCTTTTTTTTTTTTTGATGTGTACATGTTTTGTATAATTATATATTTGTATGCTTCAAGATGATGAAGAACGGTATGGAGAAAATAAGTTTTTAAGATAATTTTGAGTTTTTAAGATTGAATTTTGAATGACTTAAATTAATTGATAATAAAAAAAATACATTTAAAGATGGTAATATGGTATGGTATTAGTAAAGTAAGTTTTATTACCATTAAAAATAGTTTGTAACCATTACCAAAAAATTATTAATTGGTATGAAAATAGTAACTCTTTTTCATTATCACTTAAAATAGTTATCATCATTTGAATGTGATACGGTTATCATACCGTATCATGCCCAGCCCTATAGGCAACAAAGCAAAGCATCAACTAGAAAAAAACAAAAACGTAAAATCGATAATATTCTTACAATGTAAATCGTGATCTTGACAACCTTCAATTTTTTAAATTATTATGTTTATTTTTTATTATAAAAATATTTTATTATTTATGTACAATATAAATAAATTTATATTTTATTTGTATAATATAATTATTATTTTTTATTTAAAATATTATAAATTTATATGATTATAAATTAATATTATTAAAATTATTTAATATAAAATTATAAAATTATCGTTTATATAATAATTTTATATAATTTATTTTTTTTAATTTTTAATTTTTAAATTTACTTTAATTTTTCATATTAATAATAACAATTATTTATATTTATATTATCTTTTTTGTTTGACTTTCAAGTTTTAATGACTTCAAGTAGTTTGGTATTTCTCTTAAAAAAAAATGTGCAAGAAAAAATCCATCTAAAAATAGAAGTGATATTGATTGAAAACATAATTTTGATATAGATAATACTTCTAACAAAATTTGCTAGGATCTTACAATTCTATTTACAATTTTACGATTTGTGATTTTATCTACCACTTCCGACATGAAGTAAAATCTGGATTTTAACAACCTTGCCATTTACTGCTTTTTCTCATTCAGCATCCTGTTTGTATTTGCATCATTTATGCTCTCCATGTTCTTCACTTCTTTGTCAAACTCTTCGATAAGCCTGAAAATACACCAATATTATATTTTGATGCAAACCAGCATAGAAACTCCTGAAGAACAAAATAATAGAAAGTTGGAAAAAAAGAATGAG